CGTACGTACGTACGTACGTACGTACGTACGTACGTACGTACGTACGTACGTACTACGTACTACGTACTACGTACTACGTACTACTACTACTACTACTACTACTACTACTACTACTACTACTACTACTACTACTACTACTCTCTCTCTCTCTCTCTCTCTCTCTCTCTCTCTCTCTCTCTCTCTCTCTCTCTCTCTCTCTCTCTCTCTCTCATGTTGCGATCAGGAACTCTATAGAAAGTAAATATAAAGTGTTGAACCACTTGTACTACTCTTTTCAAGTCCTCTGGTGATGATCACCGTTTATTTGGTTTTCACCTTTAAATATCCTTTGGATATCCCATGGAAAGAATTGATGGGATTAAGCCATTTTAATTTGTTCATATCTAAAATGCAGCCTGATATACTCCTTAGACTTCATGTGCGTGAAATACTTCATTGTACTTTGATCTATCATTCTTATTAGCGAGGCCATTTTGTTTGGGTCTGTTGCATCTCTAGTGTTTTTTATTATCTGCTTCTAATAAGAACTTGTTCCATTTATTTTTATTTATTTATTTATTTATTTTTAAAGCTAATGAGGAAGGATATTATGTAGGACTGAAGCAAATTTAGTAGAGGAACTTGTTAAGCATGTTTCTGCGAAGTTGGAGTGCAAAACACCATTTCATGTTGCTTCTCATCCTGTTGGGCTCGACTCTGGCATTGTTGACATGATGGAACTCTTAGATATTGATACTAATGATGCTCGGATAGTTGGGATCCATGGAATGGGTGGCATTGGTAAGACCACTCTTGCCAAGGCAGTGTTTAACAAAATACGTTCTAGCTTCCAAGGCACTTGTTTTCTCTCAGATGTTAGAGAATCTTCAAAAACAAATGGCGGAGTTGTCACCTTACAGAAACAGCTTCTGAAGGAACTGTTTAACGAAGGAGATCCAAGTATATATAATGTTGATGGAGGTATCTGTGTTATTAAGAACAAGATTGGGTCTAAGAAAGTTCTTGTTGTAATTGATGATGTCGATAGCGAGAAGCAGCTCGAAAAATTGGCTATTAACCGTGATTGGTATTATCAAGGGAGTAGGATCATCATCACTAAAAGGGATGAGCATGTCTTGAATGTGAACAACAGAGTTGATAAGTGTCATATCTACAAGCTCAAGGAATTGGATGGCATAGAATCTCTTCAACTCTTTAGTTATTGTGCATTTGGGAGGAATGAACCCGTCCAAGAATATGCCAAACTCTCATATGATGTGGTATCCACTGCTAGTGGCCTTCCCCTGGCTCTTGAAGTGTTGGGAAGTTACTTTTGGGATAAGACACCTGAAGAATGGTAAGAGGCAGTAAAACATTTGAATACAATATCTGAAAAAGATATCATACCAAAGCTGAGAATAAGCTTGGATGATTTGAATGAAGAAACGAAACAAATATTTCTTGACATTGCATGCTTATTCATTGGATACGGTAGAAATTATGCATTTGATATATGGAAGGGTTGTGGTTTCCTTGCTTTAAATTCCATAAGAAACTTATTGCAACGGTCACTTATAAAGATTGATGAAAAATGGGATAGGTTGTAGAGATGCATGACCAAATTCGTGATATGGGGAGACGGATAGTTGAACTAGAAAACTTGGGTGATCCAGGAAGGCGTAGTTGGTTGTGGTCTGAAGAAGATGTTATTGATGTGTTGAGGTATCACAAGGTAAGAACTTCCTAAACAAGCTTATTTTTCTCCTTTTTATATAATGAATGAAGAACATATGGTTAGATACATCTATTTTTTGGCATCTTTCTATTTGGCTAAAATTTGCTTTTACCATTGATTAGGGTACTCGAAAGGTTCGAGGCCTAGTCCTTAAGGGGAACAATCAGGGCCATAGTTGGGAAACTGAAGCATTTAAATCAATGACCAATCTGAAGCTACTCAGCATTACTGGTGATGCATCTGTGAATGGGAGCCTCAAATGTCTTTCATCAGAATTAGTGTGGCTACAATGGCATGGATATCCTTTGCATTACCTCCCAGATGGCTTGAGCTATGAAAAGCTTGTTGTCCTTGACTTGTCAGAGTGCAGCGCTGTTATTGACTTGTCAAACTACATGAACCAGGTGTGGAACTTAACCAATATTAAGATTATATTGTATCAACAGTTCCTTTACTTTCTTAAAATGTATCATGGCTGTTAATCTCGCTACAATCAAATCTTTTTGGATAGGTTTTCCCAAAGTTGAAGAGTCTTCATCTCAACGATTGCAAAAACTTGGAGAGAATTCCTAACTGTCAGTTATACCCAAACTTGGAGAAGTTGGTTCTCACACAGTGTGAAAAATTGGTGGAGATTCCTAAATCTATAGGCCTTCTACAGAATTTAGTTTATTTGAATCTTTCTTTCTGCTCCAACCTCAAGGAACTGCCAGATTCATTGGGCTTACTAGCAAACCTAAAGGAGTTGAATGTGTCTTGGTGCGAGACACTCAGTAGATTCCCAGCATCAATGGGAAGGATGAGGTTACTATGTTATCTATATATGGAAGGACTTGCTATGGCCACATTACCTGATGATTTTGGGCAGCTTTCTAATCTGCAAGAGTTGATCATTCGGGGATGCAAAGACTTGAAAGACCTCCCAGAAAGTTTTGGAAGTCTCACAAGTTTAAGGACTCTCAACATACAGTGGAATAGCAGTTTGACAAGGCTTCCATCTACTTTCTCAGGTCTTAGCTCCTTGGAAGAATTGGATGCAAGTGAAGGTAACCTGCAAGGGATGATTCCTGATGACTTTGAAAAGTTGTCATCATTGAAAATGTTGAATCTCAGCTGGAATGATATCCAATACCTACCCAGTAGCATGAGGGGCCTCTCTCAACTAGAAACGCTGGATATAGAACATTGCGAGCAGCTAGTAGCTATCCCTGAGCTCCCCAACAGTTTGAGAGTTCTGCGTCCTTCCAAGTGCAAAAGTTTACAAACCATGCCCAAGCTATCTCACCTTTCTCAACTAGAAACGCTGGATGTAGAATATTGTGAGCATCTGGTAGCTATTCCTGAACTCCCCACCTGTTTGAAAGTTCTACATGCTTTCGAGTGCGAAAGTTTGCAAACCATGCCCAAGCTATCTCACCTTTCTCAACTAGAAAAGCTGGATGTAGATTGTTGTGAGCAGCTAGTAGTTATCCCTGAGCTTCCCACCAGTTTGGAAGCTCTACGTGCTTCCGGGTGCGAAAATATGCAAACAATTCCCAAGCTATCTCACCTTTCGCAACTAGAAACACTGGATGTTAAATATTGTGAGCAGCTCGTAGCTATACCTGAGCTTCCCACCAGTTTGGTAATTCTACGTGCTTCCGGGTGCAAAAGTTTGCAAACAATTCCTAAGCTATCTCACCTTTCTAAACTAGAAATTCTTAATATAGGGAATTGTGAGCAGCTGGTGGCTGTACCCGAGCTTCCCGCTAGTTTGAAATATCTGGATTTTTATGGATGCAGAAGTGTGCCAACCATACCCAAGCTATCTCACCTTTCTAAACTAGATCACCTAGATGTCTCAAACTGTGAGAAGCTATTCGCTATCGAGGATCTTCCTACCACTTTGAAAAGTTTGAAGGCTTCCAACTGCATATCTTTGCAAATTATACCCAACCTCTCTCAGCTTTCTAAACTAGAATACTTGGATTTAACGAACTGTAAGTGGTTAATTAAGATACATGGTATCAGTGGGTTGAAATATTTGAGAAGATTGTGCTTGCGTGGGTGTAACCCTCACTCTTGGAAGGGTGAAAATCTAGCAGATGTAAGTTACTTCTTTTGTACAAAAACTCCTGCAGTTTGGTTATTGAGTTACCTTTATTTCATTGACGACCGCTAATTTCCATTTTGCTTTCATTGTATAGGAAATGTTTCCAAGTTTACAGCACTCAAGTGTTCCTGGGAGCAAGGTTCCAAATTGGTTCATGTATAAATGCATGCCAAGATATACAAGGATCGAGGAAATTAAGAATCTAGAGGGGTGCATTCGTCAACAAGTGATGTGCACATTGCCGAGGTCCTCAGATGTAGGCCTTCGTATCAAAGAAATGATGGTGTGCTTTGTTGTTTATGTCCATCACTTTAGTTGTCGTGGGTCGGACCAATTTGTCAACTTATTGAGCAAGAGGAAAGGTGCTATAGTGGGTGGAACTCGATTACGAATTTATCAACGCACCCACCAGAATCAAATTCTTTTTTACCGTGGTGGAGATGACCTGAATTATGAGTTTAGGTTGCACTGGTTGGAAGATGCGGATCAAATTGAAGTCGTGGTGCTATCAAGACAATGCGAGGATCAACTTGAAGTCGAGAATGAACGGCTTGAAGAACTGACACAATGTGAGGATCAACTTGAAGACATAGATGAATCGACAGAATACGAGGATCAAGTTGAAGACCTAGATGAATTGAGGCCATCGCCCTGCATCCATTTGAAGAAAGTAGGGATCCATTTTGTATACAATCAGTAGATACTGAGGATTTTATATGCGAATCAAAAGATACCGACGATTTTATAAACAAATCAGAAGTTTCCAAGGATCCTATGGATGAAAAACTGGCTTTCTTCAATTCATTGTATGATCAATGACAATTTGGAGCCTCGCTATCTCTTAAGGTGCCAATAATGATATTCCTTTCATATTACAAAACTGTGCTTTATTTTTCTTGTTACAGATGGATTCCACTAATGATGTGACCATCATCTGCCTTTTCAGTCAATGATTTGGAAGAAAAATTAGATTATTTTGCCTCATTTTAAATGAATATTGAGCAGCATGGTCTGATCATATTTCGATTATATATTGCCTCATTTTTTACCTTGTTGCAGAATGATAGTTCCACTGCCCTTTCATGCTCATTATGCATTTATGTTCACAACTATTCAACTTTAGAAACAGAGTTTTGAAACCCTGACTCGGAACAAAACTTTCAAAAATAAGGAAGGTACCACCTTCATTGAGCACCCGATGCACCCAAAAACGAGAGAGAGAGTCATCTGCTTCGTATTGAGAGAGAATTCACATAATACACACGAAATTATTGAAAGAAGGGTGACTTGAGAGAGAGTCATTTTCCTCCTATTGAGAGGGAGTTCACCTGATGCTCCCACAATGCCAAAGAAAGGAGACTCTAGATAGAGTTCACACATATAATCATTTGCTTCTTATTGGGTAGAGTTCATCATCAGCTTTATATTGGTTGTTTTCTTCTTTTCTCTTGTACAATAATATTGCCAAACTCTGTTTTCCTTCTAACAGGCTTGATCCATTTTTCAGGCATCTCCTTCTTGTGGATCGTTTCCTCCTTTGATCGACAAGCTCTTTGTATTCTTCACTATCTTTTTTACATTTATGATATGAGGTTCCCACTCATGTTGAATCCAAAGAATTGATTGATAATGGGCTTCTTGCTCTCTCATAGAATTGATGGTGAGATTAATGGTGGAGACCTGTTTGGTTTATGGATTGTGGTAAGAATCACTTGTATCTAAGTTTTGAGTTTGTTAGGGAGAAGAGTGGTTTGCCAGTTATTCAGAGATTGTAACGAAGGTTCCAAACGTCATGTAGTAAATCTAAATCCGAAGGTCGATGAGAGAGCCGTCTTCATTTATAAGACGTTGAGACACTGACTCGGCCCAGTTACTCGGCCTACGGCAAGTACTGCTACGTACATATTTTTTATATATATTATATATCCCCAGCTATAATCCAATGGGTCCACTTGACTTGTTGGCCATTTTATAGTCTCATGTCTACATTTCGAATCCTGCCGGATCTCTTTTTATTATTAAACAAGGCGTTTTTATTTTATTAAAAAAAAACTTGCCTTATTTTATTAAAAAATATAATATATGTTTTTAAGGTTTAATTAAGAGAAGTTCTTTTTTTTATTAAAAAGTAAGCATCATTACGGTTTAATTAAATAATTAAGAGCGATTCCTTTTTTTTTATTAAAAAATACGTACCATTAAATGAAGGTTTGAACACGAGATTCAGGGTGTTCCTTTTTTATTAAAAAATAAGTACCATAATGATTTAATTTCCTGTTTAAAAATACGCACCATCAAACTGAGGTTCGAACACGGGGTTCACAAAACAACATGCAATGGGCAAGATTCGATACCTTAACTTCTTGTTATTCTTTTTTTTTCGTAACATGAACTCGAACTCAAGAATTTATCCGATTAGGATTCAAAACCCGGATTTCAGACCCTATTCGAATGCAGTTTGGATTCAAAATTTGGATCGGATACGGGTGCAAGTAGATTCGATCCGGATCCTACCTGAATCCATATCTAGATCCAACCCGTTTTTTTTAAATAGTAAATTTTTATTTTATATATATATAAAAGTAATGATCCTATAGGACTCTCATCCACCCATATGTGTAGGGCCCCAAAAGATCACCATTAAAGTTGGTATGGATCTTTCGAAAAGTTATCACATGGGTGTGGGACTTGACTTTTCTATAGATCCGTGTCAAATTTAATGGTGATCCTTGGGGTCCTACACACATAGATGCGGGAGGAGCCTATAGGATCATTATATATATATATATATATATATATAAAAGGAAAATATAGGATTAGCCCACTAGCTCATATGAGCCCAACGGCCAATATTGATTCTGGGACGATCACGAATGTCCGGTAGTGTTCAAATTTTAGCTTTTTTTCTACAAATTCAAATCACTTGAAATTTTAGGCATGTGTCCATCAAAAATAGATGAATCTTCAAAAAATATTTTACGTTAAATAAATTGACAAAATACCCTCGAAATGATTCGGGGGTTATTTTGGTCATTTTATTTTTACGAATAATTGTTTTTATATTTTTATTTGGTGCGTCTTGATGAGAATAACAAACATCTAAAATTTAAAGTGATTTGGATATGTAGAAAAATAAATAAAATTTAAACACTATCGGACATCTGTGATCGTCAGATCGGCTCAGATTCAATATGGGTTATTGGGCTCATATGAATATGTTCATATGAGCTAGTGGGCTAATCTCATCTTTATATATATGTATATATATATCTGAGTTTGTCTAGAGTTAATTACCCCTCAAAATACAAAGGTTCAAGTTAGAAGGGGTTGTGATGGGTGTATTTCTCAAAATAATTATTATTTTTTATTAAAAAAATTATTTAAATAAATAACTTTACCATTAAGCAATGACAAATTTGAAATTTTCAAAAAAATACAATGGCATTTTGGAAGTTAGTGTTTTGGAACTTTATTAGTACAGTGCCTTTGTCATTTAGTTCAAATTTCAATTTTACCATTTATGGAGATAACAAAAGTACCACTTGCCTTGTAGTAATATTTACAAAATTACCGCACAAAAATAACTTTTTTAAAAAAATAAACTACAAAATTAATAAATCCACCCTTTGCAACTCTCTTTATCTTTAACCT